CAACAAGAAGAACTCTTTGAAGTCCTGGTGTGGCACTGCGGGTTAATACACCAGACTGCAAAGCAGTTTGAACTGCAAGGTCAGTCGTTCAAGCTCACCAGCTTCTCCTCGGAAATCCTATGCAGGGTTGCTATGAGTTGGAATTGACTCGATGGCACTTAACAACAACAACTAGACCTCTTTGCTTTCAACAAGCAAGGTTGTGGCATCTGCATATCACAGATTGTCAGTGAGTCTTCTTCTAATCCTGATGCCATGTTCTTCTTCATATCGTCCAGTTTCTCAGATCATTGGTTCAGCATATGGTTCAGCAGATTAAATAAGTATGATGAATGGTTACAATCCTGATGAACACCTTTTCTGACTTTAAATCACTCAGTATACCATTGTTTTGTTTGGACAACTATCTTATGGTCTATAGTACAAGTTCTGCAAGAGCACAACTAAGAATTCTGAAACTCCCATTTTTGCTTGCTTCAAGTCAAGATTTTGTCAGTTTTAAATTTGTACATGGGCAATGAGAACTTTTAATTACAATTTATTCAAATGAAATGGATGGCATTTCATGTTTAACATAACAGAAATAAAATCATCTGAACACTGAACACTTGCCTGAATTTCTCCATGACAATATGTATGTTGACCACTGTAACAAAGCCTTGGTCTGTACCCAGATATGACAAGAAATTTAAATAAATTCAGTGACCACTACATTGATGTCCACTTGGTTCCTTGTGTACAACACAATTTAACATAGCAGTCCTGACTTAACCAACACCTTCTTCCTTTTGGTTAATAATTTTTTAATTGTGAGGTTGTTGTTGTTTTTAAATTTTTCTGAGCTATGTTGTATATTTTTTTTGTTATTCCTTTATGAATTTGTTATTTTAATTATTATTTTCTCTTTATTATTTATCTTTTCTTTCTACAGATTTTCTCTTTGTTTTTGTAAGTAATAAAAACATATGAAAAAGCTCCACAAATAATTGTTATACCCTTGCTCTTACATATAAGAAACACTGGAGGCTTAGTGTTACACATTGGTCTGCTGGCCTTGTGGTTAGCAAATCCACCAAGCTACTCCTTGGAGAAAGATGAGGCTTTCTGCCCCCATAAAGATTTATAGCTTTGGAAACTCCATATATGTCAGGCTGCTTACCACCAAGGCAGCAGTTTGAATCCATCTGCTGTTCTGCAAGAGAAAGATGAGGCTTTCTGCTATGGTAAAGTTTCACAGCCTCGAAAACCCTATGCAGGGTTGGCATGAGTCAGAACCGATTCAGTGGTATACAACCAGCAGCTGCAGCGTCCTTGCATATGAGTACTGTCTAATAACTGGACTTGAACATTGAGTTTGTGTTCACCTGGATCCATTGTAATGGTTATCTGCCACTTGCTCCTCCCTGCTACTTTTGTAGTTTGAAATTTGACCTTGGCCTTTTACCAACAAACATTTGTTTTCTGTTTGAGTTTTCATGGCCCTAATAATTCCTCTCTTTCATTGTTTATGAACTTCTGTTGTCTTACATGGTGGTGGTGGTGTGCCATTGAGTTGGTTCTGATTCATACCAATCCTGCATAGGTTTCCAAGGCTATAAATCTTTATGGCAACAGAAAGCCTCATCTTTCTCCCAAGGAGCAGCTGATGGGTTCGAACTGCTGAGCTTGGTGGTTAGAAGTCCAACACATAAACCACTACACTACCAGGATTCCTTGTTACAACATTAGGGTGTGAAATTATATCCCAAGCTCTTGTAAGCATTCATGAAATTATTGTAAATACTGTCACTGCTTTCAGTGGTAAGGGCTTATTGTTGTTGTTAAATGCTGTCCAGTAGGTTTTGACTCATAGCAACCCTGTATAGGGTTTCCAAGGAGTGACTGGTGAGTTTAAACCACCAACTTTGTAGTTCAAACCAGCATTTTAGTCCAATGCTTTATCCCACAGCACCACACCAGGATTCCAAAGGCCTGTGTTGTTGTTGTTGTTAACTGCTGTTGAGTTGGTTCCAACTCATAGCCACCATGTATACGGTTTCCGAGGAGCAGCTGGTGAGCTTGAACCACAGAACTTGTGGTTCACACTGACCTTGCAGTCCAGAGTATTAACCCACAACTCCACACCAGGACTCCTAAGGGCTTATTACCAGGTGTAAAGTATGCCAGCATTTAAAGGTCACTGAACCTGGGCTGAGTTGATTTCTTGCCTCTGGCATTATTTCTATTTTGGCATTATTATTATTGTTCTTTATTATTATTATAAAACCATCCAGTC